TAAATTCAAAGACGATCTGGATGAGGCTCGAAATGAAGCTGAAAAAGTCTGTTGTCGTTTCTCTTCTATGCCACCTTCTTCATTGCACCATCTCAAATCAAAACCCAACTCATCCATACCTCTGCCACTCATTCACCATCCTATCCCCTATGCAAACAAACCTATAAATAACAACAATAATCCAAAGTACCACATTCAAGGAGATTCAAAAGTGGAAAACCGATGCGTACTCGGTTCGATCCGAAATGAAGGCCATCGAGGCCAGTAACTCGGCAATGAAAACCCAACTTGCGGCCGCTAACGACCGTTGCGATTCGCTCAACAAAACAGTTAACGATCAGAATGCCAAAATTCGAGAATGTTCGTTTGCTTTGCTCTTATCCTCCAACAATACTACCAACTTAACCTATCCCATGCCATCAATCAATAAATCAACCACCCAAAATTACAGTCAACAACCAGATTCGTCACCTCGAAGAAGAGCTATCCGATGCCAAGTCACTGCTCTCCTCAAGAGATGCCGACCTACAGAGCGCTACCAATCGTATGCATTCACTTGAGGAACAATTCGCTGCCTTACAATTGGAACACAGTAAAACTCGAACTGAATTCGATACTATGCAACGTGAGAATGAAACGCTCAAGGTTCCTTTCTATTACTTATTATTACTATTACTCTTTTTGCCATTACTATTATTACTATTACTCTTTTTGCCATTACTATTATTACTATTACTCCTTTTGCCATTACTATTATTACTATTACTATTATTACGACCATATATAAAATCAGTCTTAACATTATCATTAATCTTATAATGATCTTAACTAAATAATTCAACTGCTTTCTGAAGGGAGTGAATACATCACAAGAAGGTGAAATCGAACGTCTCAAGAAAAAATTAGCACAAGCCGAACTAACGCTCAAAGAACAGAAGAATGCACTTGATCATATGCGTTCTGAGGTAACTAATTAATTAATTAATTAATTCATTACGTAATTCGTACTCATTATTACTCTTATTGTTACAATTACCGTAAACTTTCAGCGTGAACGCCTGCAAAACGCTTATCGTGAGAAAGTG